AAAACACTCATTGTACCACTCTGGAGTAAATCACAACCTCCAAAATCACAATTCAGCACAATTGAGGAAACTGATATCCTTTGTTAAAACACAGGCTTGGGAAGACAGCCTCTCTGGTGGATGGTGCCTAAAATACTCTTCCCTCCAGAGAAGTGATCCCTTTAAGGCCAGGTTTGAGTTTACTGGTAGAGAGGCTATGCAGGAACCGTCCCTGCAAAGAGGAGCTCATCTAAAGGAAAATAAATCTTCTGAGCTCTGTAGGGAGCCCAGGTGCCATGGGATATTTTATCATCCCTCTGTAAACCTAGCACGGTGTCCCTGCCTGTTTATAATGAGCACAAGGACACGAAGACAGAGCGGCTGGCTGCATATGCATCATGTAAATCTATCAATTTCATTGCCAAATTTGAACAATTCTAGAAAGGTCAGTTTGTGCGACACAGGCGCAGCCTGCTCTATTGACAGACATGGAGAGCTACCCTTACTCTGTTTGTCTGTCGCGCGATGTATTGAAAGAGGATTTTGCTGCATATTGCCAAATGTATTTAAACATGGAGCCACTCCACAGTACATGCAAAAGGCTTATCTGACATTATTTCTAAGCTTAGAGGAAATGAGATGGCAAGTAATGGGGGAAAGGTCTGAAAATAATCTCTCTCTGTTTCTCCCTTTTTCTTGCTCTTGTGAATCTGTCTCAACACCTAAGACAATATTGTGTGAATTTGGTTTCTTCTCATTAAAAGAAAAAAAAAAAAAAGCAGTCTATGCTTTCAGCAAATTCAAAGGATAATAATTTTTTCTTGGATGATGTCATTGTAAATTCCAAATATAAAACTGCCTCTCTGATTGCCTCCCCCCCACCAAATAACAACAACAGCAATAATATTCCTCCCTATGTGTAGAAAAACAACATGCCAGGTAGATGATAAGGCTGGACTTTTCTGCCCAATATACTTGCTCGTAATATGTGATGTATTTTCCTTTGTCTTGTCTTTTCATACTTAAACAGACTTGATCTCAGAGTGATACCATTCAGAACAACTTTACTACCTTGCATTGTACTGCAATATTTTTTTAAATACTATCTCTATCATATAACTGCATTTCACTATATAATTCACCAGAAGTATGAAATACAGGTTCTCATTAACATGTAAGCAAAGCCCATTTTTCCACATCCTTACTTGAAATTATAAGACTAGGGTACATAACATTTTGGTGGCCAGAGATGACCTTAATATTTCTGGGGCAAGATGAGAGATGTAATAAGGGGTTGATAACACAAAGTTGGTTGAATGGTGTCACACATGGGTGGGGCCAGGATTTTCTATTTTTTCTGTACTTTCTTGGAAGAAGAGTTTTCTTTGTTTTTGGTTTCTTTGTTTAAAGTATGCTGCTTCTATTTTAGGGCCTTTCCTACAGTTTTCAGGTATTTCTCACAACTGTGCAATCAAAATTCTGTTGGAAAGAATTACTGTAATGTTTGGCCATTGTGTACCTGGAAAAAAAAAATGGTTTGACCCAAGTTTTCTTAGGGCTGTAGATTCCTCATCACCTTTACAAAAACTACAAGAGAGAGAGAATACAGAGAACATCCAAAGCCTGTAACAATATTAAACAATGGTCAATATTGCATAAGGGATGGAAGATACCTGGATTTTTTAAAAAAATGGTATTTTTTCTATTGATGATATCGGGTTATAGAATGTCAAACAGATTTTAAAATGTATTGTGCCTTGCTAATTTCATATATGCTAGTATTTCTTTGCCAAGTTACTATTCCAGGCTAATTTATGTATTTATTATTTATTATAAGATTTTTATCCTGCCTTTATTTTTGGCCAACTCAAGGACTATGAAGGGTAGTACAGTGACCTTTGGATCTGTGAATAAAAGGTTATACTTCTACCTGAGAGTTGTTGACTTGCTGATGTACAAAATTTAATTTCCTGATGTTTCAAAACATGTGCAAGGAAGAAAGAGAGGTTTGAAATAATTCAGACTAGATGGCAGCCTGTACTAGAATTCTTTTGCTGGTTATAATGAGCTTTTGAAATATATCTAGTCAATATTTGAGTGTGCTCCAAACTCATATAAACTCTTTAATTTTTCTGTTCATCATCCATGTCTAGACTGATTTGGTGTGTGTTTTACATGGTGAGTTAGCCAGCTACAGGCACAACAAACAGCTGGTCAAAATAAGAGAATCAGACTCCTATTGGGTCCAGGTATTGAAATGTATCCCCCAATGATGTTTAGAATAATATTATTCGGATAAAAATAGGATGGAATAGGGGCTAGGGAAATCTCTATGCAGAAAAGCTGTTCCAAAAATGTAAGAGTACATTTTAGATACCCAATACTGCAATCATTTACTGAGACCTAGTTTATATAAACAAGATTCTTCAGCTATGACACTCCACATTAGACACAGGGAAATGGTATAATTATGTTTTGCATATCACTTTCAATATCACATTTAAAATGAGTGTCCAGACTAAAACTGAAACTCTGAACATGATAAGATAATGTTATAAGACCATAATAGTCATACACCAATTAGCTGATAATGTTAGCTTCATAAACCGGAGCATGTAAGTGGCTCCCAGTGGTCTACACTAGGTAACAAGGGTCACAAGAAAGACTTGACTCTGGAAGGAAAAACAAAACTGGTTGTTGTTCCTTAAAGATCTATACTGAGCAATGAATTAAAAAAAAATAATTGTAGTGGCTCTCCCAATGGATGGATGTTCAGTTTTCTAGATGGGGAAAAGGTTAACCATGATTAGCCTCTATTACCCTGTGGCTAGCAGGCGGTACTGATCCCCATCATTTGTGGCTGTTTTAAATAGGACTCTAAGATAGGTCTGGCTAAAGCCTTATCATTGTGGTTTGTGGTCAAGGAGACCAGCTGAAACACCAACCATAACCAAGTCACATCATTTTAAGGCTACTCCAGATGAGCTTTCTTCCAAACCCACAAAATAGAGAGTAGGAGAGGAGAAAAGTGAACCACATGCCAACTGTTACACACGTTACTGAACAAGAGTTAAATTATGCGCTCAGCTATTGGCATTCTTCATTACAAAGATTGTGAATCTTCTATTTAACTAATGCATTTAATTGTCTGTTTAGCCAAATTAATTATTTTAGTACTCCATATGAGGTTCATATAATGCAAGAATGTTATTTTATTTTGTGTTTAATGCAATCCAATCCTTAGGCTGTAAAAATATCTACATATTTAAGAGTCAAGCAGACTGAATACCGCAAAAAGTCAAACTGGGGTATTTATAAAATCCATCAAAAATACTACAAAAGCAGACAATTAAAATAACCCCATTGACATTCCTGATTATCCCAGGAACATAATGTACTTAAGTTCTAACAGCTGTACTTTAGAGGTTACCCAACTGTCCAGCCATCAGCAGGTTCTCATTCCAAGGCAGAGGTACCATTGAGAACAAATCTTTAATATGCTCTTGCTGTTTGTATTGACGGAGCTGTCAAAAACAACAAGAAAGTACTTAGGGCAACTGCATTGCTCCCAAATTAGCTCCATGTCCCAGTGCCCCATATCATCCTCTCCACTGGGTAACTAAGCCAATTTATTTCAGCTCAGCTGTGGTGCATCAGAAGTTGTGAGTTCTGCCTGAAATGCTGAATATCTGTGGTGATTGGCAGTGGGAATGCTCTAAATCATGGGATCTTTCTCTTCTTCATAGAGGTTGAGCATGATGAATTCATGCTACAATGTTATTGTTTCACTATGGTTCCCCCCC